ATGAGATGTATTCACCCTATTTCGTTTAAGGTGATGAAGGACTGTTTGATGAATTTTCTCACAATGATATGAGTTGAGCTGACGTTTCCATTCAATTTAAAATAGCCTTGTCTTCAAAAAAGTTGTTCTCATCCTTCATCCCCTTAAACGAAATAGGGTGAATACACTTCATACTACTGATTTACTGGTAGTCTCGAAACACTACTTACATACGAGAATTAAGGTAGATACTCAAGAATGTGAGGCCTGCTGCGTGAGTCCATAGTATACGTGCTATAATATGCTTGGCGTGAAACATGGTCTCAAGTATCACGAATGTAGTTACAAAGATGAATGGAAGTCAGCACATCAAAAAGACTAGAACCGGATCGTCAAGGGCACGTAGAGTTGTCGGATGAAGCAGACTACGGATGGAGGGGGGCAACTCGGTTAAACAATTCCGGAAATTGAGGAAAAGGGTAAACCAAACCATTCGGGAGGGTGATTATGTCTTGGTGAATTCGGTTAAAAGGACACCTGGCAAGGTTGTGTCAGGTTGAATAGGCTAGACATGTTCTTAGTGGATGAGTAAAGAGGAGGATATTGGAAAGATGAATGTGATTGGACAGAAGAAGGAGAGATAACTCAACCAAATGCTGGCTGAGGGATGGACTTGGTGCTAAGACTGGACAGACTCATGAAGGTTTTCGATCACAAATGTCTTCGCAATGCATCAACGGTCCAACGCTGGAAGTCGTCATGGCTACTAAGCCAGATGACTCTAGCCAATATGCGCTCGTCAAGTTCGCCCTGACAACTCGATTTAGTTTCGAAAAAGGGTCAAATAATTCAGATGCCCTTCATGAGCCTAAGGTACCAGAATATATGGAGAGCTACCAAAAGACGATTTATGAGAAGGCCTTTCAAACGATTTCGAAAACAAACATTTTAGTCACCGTTTATGTTGTCTGCGTTGATAATTACGTTGTCAGTTGAAAGGACAAACAAAGTGGTTAAACTGAGACAAATTCTGCTTTAAGGAGCACTTATTCTGATACCTTCTGAGGCAAATCAAGTATATGCAAATAAATCCTTGATTCTTTGCAGCATAATTTCCTTTACAGGATATTCGTCAAACTGGTTTAACTCATTCGCTTTTTTTATCCGGTGGATGGACATGATGAGGCTTTTCACACTTTGGCTTTTAGTCAATCCGTCCATTCCCGATTGAAGCCGTTCAGACACAGGTTCTGTTATTCGAATAGCAAGTCTTATTATATTCATTTTGCCGACACTTTCAGCATCATGGCGATCTTAGATCTAAACATGACAAGCAGGCCATGTTATTATTTTTCTATTTATTTGTTCATACTTTTATTAAACATACGATACGGTGTTACTCTTATCTTGAAATAAGTAACACCTCTTTATAATTTTCAAATTTTTTGAGTAATTTGTTCGGAATAATAACAATATTTCCTTAATATTCACGTCTAGTTCCGTCGGCTCCTTTGGGCCTATTGCTCATCTCCTACAGCTTCGATCGAATCACCGTTGCCTGGGATCCCCCTCTCCTCCATAACGGCATTCTGAAGAACTATGTTGTCTCCGCGAAGGAGGTCATCAACAGAAACCAAGTGCCACTCATTCTCGTGGAGAGCACCCATTTGGAAGCCACTATTGAGAACCTGAAACCGAAAGTTCTGTATAGTGTGGAAGTGGCTGCAGTGACAGAGCCCAGCAAAGAGGGCAAAGGCGGAGGCCAAGGTCCCTTCAGCAACATGATACAGCAGCTCCTCCCGCCAGCGCGTAAGTCTCAGCGTCAGAATTCGCTCTCATTGGTACCTAATTTACAAGCAAGATTATTGCGCAAAGCAAGCTTTCTCTTCAAGTCATCGGCCCAATTTCTTTACCATTTCTGCTCCGATGCTTCCACCAATTCAGGGCTTAACTGGGTCCATAGCACAATTCGCGAGTATGCTGGCCAGAACCCCTTCCGAAATGTCATAAATGTAATACATCCTCAGCACCAACGAAGTTGCCACATCGTCCGACTAACAAGCTGGTGAGAAATGGACGAAAAATAAAACCGCGGAAAACAATTTAGTTGTTCCAGCAGAAGCCTGTTAATTTTTTTTGCTTTGACCTGTGCATTATTGCTTTTGAGTTTTTTTTTTTTTTCTTATGCCCTCCTCATGTACAGCCAGTGGACCACCGACCAATCTCATCCTCACTGACCGCACTTCCACAGAAATCGCCATTCAATGGAGCGAACCATCAGTCGTGAGTACCCTTTTAACCCTTATTTTCTGAACACGAATCCGGGACCGCCCAATATATTCGACTAATCTTAACCATAATCACTATCAGTCTTTCAGCAGAATATGCAACTAAATTTCTCAGTCAATATCTGCTGACAGTCTCGCATCCTACTTAATTCGAATATAAGTAGTGTTGTCTACCAAAATGGCAAATGGGTTCTTCCTATTTCGTTTAAAGCGATGAAGGACTTGTAGTTCAATTTTCCCGCAAGCATATGCGTAGAGCGGATGTTTTCCATTCAATTTCACTGGCTCTCGAAGAATCTCTTGAGATAATATTGTTAGGAGGACTTTCAGTTCGCATGAAAGTGAATGAAGAAAAGATTTGTTGGTCCATCTGACCCGATGAATCTCGTTGTACTGCAGCCTTTTGTCTTTTATACGACATTCATTTTGACGCCGTCCACAAGACTTCCTCCCTCGTTTCAGGTGAAAACGTAACAATTTCTTATAGCCTTGCTTTCCCAAAATAGGTTCTCATCCCGGCTGTAGTGAACCGCAGGTTCGACCTCGCAATCTCAACCCCAAGCGGGAGCAAACCATGTCAATGCAACGTGCAACCACTACAACACATTGCTATGAATTCCGTTTGGTCACGACATGAATTGTATTCACCCCATTTTGTTTAAGTCTGATCGGAAACCTACTCACTTATGAAAAAAGTAATGTTGTCGATTGCTATAGAAAAGGTACGTTTGCTTCATCGACAATCACAACACAGAATGTCATATGAAAAATGCCTGACCTTCCTGAAACTTCACATCTGCGCTGTCACCCAACGGCATTTACGGAAATGTGGTGCACCGGTCAACGTGTCGAGCTTACACGCTACAATGTCATTGTTCGACTCCCGCATGGGGTGTTGACGAGACCGATGCCGTGAGTAAGGATATGCGTAATTCAACGGAAGACATTAGCTCTGCTCATGTGATTGTGGAAAAATGCAACTATCAGTCCTTCGTCGCCTTAAACAAAATGGGAAGAATCCAAGTCATATTTGAGATTTACTGGAAATCTCACGGAAAAATGCATATTCACTTCGGCAACTTTGCTACCGTTAAAATGTGACCTGGGATGGATCTGATTTTGCTTGAAATGCACTTCTGCCCTCTGGCCGATCGACATTTCTGGCGGTCTGGCGTAGTGCTAGTGTCGAAAGTACACGCCGCACCACTGCAACCCGGGCTCGACTTCTGCTGGTATCTCCCATTCTGCCCTGGCTTATTCACATTTCCTATATCCTCCTATCACACCTTCACTGTTACAATTTTACTGTGTTTATTGAGTTGTAGTGTGATGTGGGAAAGGGGCATATTATTGTAAAGGGTTTTCATGAATGCCGCTAAAATGAGCACAAAACACAACTTTAAAAAAATGGTTGTAGTGAAGGTGTGATAGGAGGATATGGAAAATGTGAATAGCCCAGGAAAGAAGGGGAGATACCACAATTGTTTAGCACACGTTTGGTGAAAGGATCGGCTTAACTTGTCTCTTTGACGAGTTTTTGTGTGGTGCTACGAATGGCGAAACTCATTGACATGAACAAGTTGCGAAAACAAGTTCAAACAACTTCTATACAACGAAATTTGACTGCGACCACACAAAAGGCCACACTTTCTTGGCCGTCATACCTTTTATTTGGTTTAAGTCGACTTATTTATTAGATTAGATCAGAATGGCTTTAATTTAATTGTATTTGCTAGCCTGTGTTAGATTATAAATGAACAAGTAAGAATTCACTTTTTTATTGGCATCATAATTTCCAAAGTCGGACTGTGGACGAGGTACATTCACAGACGTTTCTCCGGCATCGTCAGTGAGTCTCGCCATTCTTAGCATCACACAACAACTTGTCAAAGAGACAAGTGAAACCGATCCCTTGACCAAACGTGTGC